GTTGGACAAAAATTGAGCTTTGTGGCACAGAGGAATAAGATATACCAAGCTTTGCTTGTTAGCAGGATAAAGTCATTGCATTTTGGTCTTTTTATTGGACATACAATGAGAAACAGAATTTTGCCAGACTTTTCCTTGGAGCCTATCCTGGACCAAAACAGAACTTCTTTGGGTTAATAATGGATGGACAGACAGATGGACCAGATTTAGATTTCACATGCCAGCCTTGTCAGTGACCACTTGTGGTATATTTTTCAGTGAGTGAAGAGACAGCAAGAGTTGCATCAGCAGGTTGGAAAGTGGTGAACTCGTGTACAGGTGTTTCTAAAGCAGCAATGTTCTGCCGTGTTCTAATTTTAAACTGAATGAAGGAGGCGTGGGGGCCATGCACATCATCTCTATCCGGCTATAATCTGACTTTTTCTGAACACTTACAAGAAGACAATCTACCATCATCACCACCTCTCCCTTTTCACTCTCAAAGTGTTCGTCTTCCCACCTCTTACCTTGATCGCTTCCCTCTCTATAGATTGCCTATAGGAAAATCTGTTTGATTAATGTATTACTGAAATCAGGCCAACTTAATATGTTTGATCGAGGAGTGGTTGCAAGATGCACACATGGTGGAGGATAAAGATAGGATGAGAAGAGGAGGAGGAGTAGGAGGAGGGAGGCAAGATGAAGGGATTATATTTCTTGGGTGAAGTTCTACTCAGGTCGCCAGGGACGAGAACAGGTGATTATGAGAAACGGTTTGATTTGAAGCCACACATGGCTGTCTTGGGGACATGAATGCTTTAATACCATTTTGAAAGTTTATTTTTGAGGTGCTTGCCTACTGCATGTTGTAGGAATTCCATGGAAAATACTTTAAATGCATTTTAATTTGGAGTCCCATGCTCTTGTGGGCCTCTTGACTCATGCTACATGAATATAACATCAAGACATTAAATCCTGAATCGAACATATGTCTAATGATGAAGCCAGTCCGGTTCAGCTACATGTTTGATATGTGATCAGACTCCTCAACCCACGTCCTGAGGGCTTGGCAGTGCGCAGAAATCCTCCGCAAGAGTTTCCAGCCAGGATTTACCACAGCCTACAGGGGTTAGGTTATCTGCACAAATCATTCCCTTTTTCATTTGCAGAAACAGTCCTGCTGACATGATTTACAAGTACAGTAGCTGCAGACATGAAATCCAAGGGCAACACAGGGCTACAAATCACACCGTCTTTGCCTCTCTATTTACATCGACCTATTGGTGTCATAGAAAGGGACATATTCTAAATCTGAAGTTACAAATTACAAGGTTTTTCTGCTGTAATGAGGTATTTAGTTTCATCTGTGTCATGGTTAACGGAAACTAGGACAGTGTGTCACATCCCCCAGAGAAACAGAGAGACAGAAAAATCCTCTCACTGTGCTGTAAGCATGATCCAGCACCAACTAAGCACCTGCTCCCCTCTTGACATTGCTCTATTTTGTCATTTTACTGGGTAAACATCGTTCTTTTAGTCAAAACTGTGTACCAGCAGTCGCTCATGGTGAACTGTCTAAGCGGAGGTCTTTACATCTTTTATCATTCGTGCCCATCAGGGATGCAGGGGTTTATAAAAATTCAGTTTAACTCAGGAGTTCGAGTAGTTTGAAGCAGGTGCGCAACAATACACACAAAAAAGCAACTGCTTACAGAATATTGCAACTAATTCATATTTATGATTCTTTTTTTAATTAATTTCATGCCTTTGTTACCCATATCAGTGTCACACTTTTCACTATTAATGCATATGATTATACAGAATAGAGGTTTTTAATTAGGTTCAGCTGTGGGTCTGTTTTTCATTCAGGCAGCCAACATAATTTTCACAGCTGTGGTGGAGACAAAGGCCAGATTTTGAACTTTCTTGTATTTATTAGGGAATAAAATGGACTTTAATCCACCTGTTGACTTGTATAATATACCAAACTAGAAATAGCTGCTCCAGTATACCTTGACTTAAAAGTTATAACAGATGAAGAAGGATTGGATATTGACTATTTGATTGATTTATAAGGCCCACCATTAGGCTGGGTTTCAGCCAAAGACGGTTTCTTTTGATAAAAGATCTCTCAAAGACATACAAATGAAAGGTAGATAATGAAGTAGCTGTCCATAGTCTGATCTATTACTGTAAATAGCCTAATGCATGGCACAGAACCAGAGCACAATATCCCCTTTCATGACTCTCTCTTTATAGTGGTGTGGTATTGATTATTAAATTGATATATATCAGGTCATTTTATGTACAGTCCCAAAAATGGTTGAAACAGGGTATTGTGGAGGTGTGGGGTCAACCTTCACTGCATCCATGTTTCCTTCCTCTGCTGTGTCAAAGCTCGGATGGTCCTTTTTGGAAGTGCTGCTCTTGTGCCTGATGCTAGTTCTGTCCATCTGACCAGCCGGTCATTGCTCTGCTGCCACGGATTTTCACAAATCACTGCCACGCCACGTCTCCAACAGCACAGAGGAATGGGGACAGAAAATCAATGGGCTCTCATGGGCTACTCCATCAGTCCAAATATCTGGAACTTGATGGCGAAGAAAAACAGGGGGTTGGGAGGATTTGCAGGATGGAGAGAACGAGCGATGGAAGCAGGTTTTAGGACCATGCAAGGCTGGATGGGCATGCTGGTTTGTTTTAAGATAGGAGTGTGCGGTGGTTGTAAGCAAGACCAGTAAGAAAGAAAGAGAGAGACTTGACACCAGTGCCAATATGATACCTGAGTTTTGTTACCAATACCAAACAGACATTTTTCAAGACATTAGCACAGAGGCACTGTGAAGGTGTATGATATCATCATATATGTTTCCTGCGAATAAAACATCCATAGATTTGCTTAAAAATCATAGAGAAAAGATGCTCCTCATAGCTCCAGAACTTTCCTGAGAAACATCACTATTTAAGTTCTCTTCGGTATCAAAGAAGTATAAATACTTCAATAGAGAATGGAGTGTAAATCGGCAAAGATTCCCTGATTTAGATCAGTAAATATTTGAAGGATGAGTAAAGAAAAATACTTTTTCCCATTTCCATACAGTGTATAAGCAGCAGTAACATGTTGTACTAATGGGAAATTATGCATTACGTGTACAGAGCAATCCATCAAACTGCTGAGTTGAAATGGCACTGCCACTTAAGATTGACTAAAAAGTTTGTTTTAACCATCTAATACTAATTTTCCAAGATCTTCCTTGAGCTTTCTCTCCACCATCCACAATTTGTTTTAATGTTTTACAGCCATGAAGAGCTCCACCTTCTTTCAGTGTATCGCACTGTGGGACAATAGTGCACATCGCAGCACATGGAAATATCTCTGTAGCATATTGAACAGCTTTCCAGTTTGAATGCACTATATACTTATAACCTGCTTAGAATTACTAATACAGTATGAGACTGGGACACAGCCTAAGATTCTGACCAGGCATTTAATCCCAACTTTCCTTACCTGATAGTAGTTAGGTATAAGAGGATGTTGGAATGAGACTACTGATCAAGTCTGAGGAAGAAAAAAAAAAAGAAGTAAAATTGAAGCCGACAGAAAAACAGATTGAGTTAGTGCGTCATAATGAAAAGGATCAAGAGCAGGAGGGAACGTGGACAAGCCTGATAAGCAAGTGTTTTGGATTGAGTCTAACAAATTCTTTTAAATAAGAGCAGCGGCTCATGAAAGTGATATCATATGGAAATGTCTCCAACAAACCATTTAACATTCACCACAAGAACTGACTGTAGATATGATTGCCTCAGGTTGTAGGCAGTGCATGCAAATGTTACGTTAAATGTGAAGTGCCGCCATCCACGTCGTGAGTTATTTCCTCCAATTTTTCTCATTCTGCTCTTTGATTTCACACCTTGCTCTTACCTCAGTGGCTGAAACAAAGGTTAACAGGTAGATAAAATCTTCTTCTTTGTCATTTTCTCTATCTGTTTCAGTGGTGGACAGCAAGGTGATCCTGGAGGGCCTTCAGAGGTATGGCCCCACACCAATCTATCTGCCTGTCAGCTACCGGATCCTCAATGCTGAGGCGGCATTCTTTCTCCAGGAGGCAAATCAGGACTTAATGAGGAACTCCAGCCTGCAGGCTCGTACGGAGTCTTTCTTCGTCCACCAGGCCCGGCAGATACCCTTTGTCAATGCTAGCTACGGCCCGCTGTCTGTCCAGCAGCCTGTCCCTCTGGAGCTGCTGCAGACCCTGCCAGGGCCATTTAACACACCCTCCTTCTCTTCATCATCAGTGCCAACATCAGCGTCATCGCCACCTCTCTTTACATTTAACTGGAAGGTTCACACCTATATTATCAGCGAAAGGATTCACCCTAGTTGGCCAAAGGTTCAAGTGTTGTTCTACATTGCGGGGAGGGACTGGGATGATTACAGCGCCATCCACAAGCTGCCCTGTGTCAGGATGTTCGCCTTCCATGAGACTCAAGAGGTGCGGGGGACATGCAGGCTAAAAGGTGAACTGGGAATATGTGTTGCCGAGCTGGAGCCCCTTGCCAGCTGGTTCAGCCCACCCACCATCAGGCCAGGAAGACAGAGGGTCTCTGAGCAGGCCCAGGGCACTCCTGTGGAGCTGTACTACATGATTCAAACAACGGACAGTGGAGACTGCAGCTCAGAGGATTCAAGAAAGGACACCTCCGTCCGCACAGACCAGCAGAGGCCGATGGGCTATTTTGCAGGGCACACACCTATGCAGCGCATCGGGAGTGTCAGGCTGTTTCAGCCGCTGTCGGAGCTGAAACTGGACAATAACTTTGTGGTGATGGCACCCTCCAAACCCATCCGGCAGAGAGAAACGGTCTCTGCTTTTCTGGCTCTGTCCACGCTTTCCACAGTGCCAATTTTCACCCTCAGGTGAGTCACAGTTCACTCGGCTGCTATATTAATGTTCAGTCATTTTCCAAACTAATCTCAACAGAAATCATTGGACATACAAACATAGGAAGGCATTGGAAGACTTTTAGAGAAAGCAGCAGTGATAGATAAAACCAATGAGAACAGGCCACAACCAAAAATCTGACAATGCATGACAGCATTTACAGTACACCCTTCTGTCACTTAATGTCTCACTTGAGTCACTGACTATTGTGCTGTTGCATACCACATGAGTCATTTCTCAAGAAATTCTTGGTCAGTGTTTGTGTGAGTCATATTCTGAAATTAAACATGCAGGGTATAACTAATTTAGTACAATGCCTCTGTGTTTCTAAAATACTGTACTGTATAGCTATGTTATGCACTTGCCAAACCCACCTTCTTATTGAAGAGATCACAGACTCTAGGCAACACAGTTACAGTCCAATCATGCATTTACTTTACTATATTGTTGTGGTTTGGAAACAACACACAGCTTGTTTAATCAAAATAACCTACCAGTTTGTTATTAGTTTATCTACTAATCAGAAACATTTAACATCACAAATTAAAATAAATGTAAAAAACAAAGACATGGTGGTAAACAAGACCGCCTCAATTACCTGGTTTTATTGTGTGAAACAGCACTGACAATAAACACTCAAGATCCTTTCCTACTTTGGTTTAGAAGAATGAATTTCAGCTGGCAGACAATCTTTGTGAAATAATATTATTTCAGTGACAAACAGAGCTTGCCACACACCAAGTCTTGGCTCTGAACCAATCTGAAACCTCTTGGTATTTGTTTCAAAGTTTTCTGCAAGCGGAAGCATGAGCTATGTCCAACTTAAGTAAAAATCTGAAAAGTGAGAGCAAAGTTTGAAGGGAGTTCATTTATGGTTTATGGTATATTTGTTTCTGCTTACAGTGGAAATAGATAACTTTTTTGCTTTAACTTATCATTATGAAGTAAATGTTAATTGCACAGTGCAATGGTTATAGAATAAGGACACCATCTATGTTTAGACAGGCTACATATAAGCCTCACTTTCACTATGCAGTCTGCCACCGGGCACAATTTCCAGACACATAGACTAAATGAATGAACAAACTTTTTCTTTTTCTCTTATGTTTTCGTTACTCTACTCTTGACGCAACCTCTGCTGTAGTTGTTCGTGCAAAGCAAAAAAGTTACTCAAACTATTTTACTACTATGCAATGCACATGCAAGCATGCCATTCCCCCCTACGATAAGGCGTGATGCCTGTTCCCCAAATGCATATATCAGTATAAAATTTATAAAATAATTAAATTGTGACAATTTCAATTTACCTCTTCAGTGAACATCCTTCTTTCTTATTTCCAAAGCAGTGCTGATTTCCTTACAGAGCTGGGCTCTGAGGAAAATGGGAAGCGATCGGCTGCCTTTGCAACAGCGGCGCAAACAATAATGCCACTTGGAAATGCTAAGCAGGGTAATTGAAAAGTTTCCACTTTAACGGCAAATTTTTATGGTTAAGTATGACCTTCACAGAATATACAGTTTTTTATTTATACCACAATTTCTACCATAAATCTCACTAACATGCAATAATAATCTTCTGACGGAATAAAACCTCCAAAACAAGGATTTTCGCAGAGAAGGTTTGCTTTTGTTTATTGTAACCTTCCAAGTCATTTAGTAAAGAAATTACAGCGACATTGTAGTGCTTAAAACCTTCCGAAACTGCATCTTTGACAGTGTGGAGGGGATTGTTTTGACTGGATAACACCTTAATTACGCCTTGGTGCTATTTATGAAGATTGTTTTCATGTACTCACCTTTAAAATTGCTTGTCTGAGGAAAATTTTTATCTGAGGTAATTCCACACAACAACAACAAAGTAGTTATTGATTCATTGAGCTTTGTCTCATACAAATTACCATTCAAAGTGACTGTAATTGCTCCATGTTGTGTGATGCAAATTAAGGTGTAAGGAATATGCATTTCCACTGGGCTATTTCTATGCCTGAGATCTAAATCATGGCAGATGAAACAGTTAGCAGCCTTAAAGTGGGGCTGTGACAGAGAGCCTTGGCAATTTGTCAACCCTGGGTGAGCAGGAAATCTGCCAAAAAGCCTCATTGCTTTTTCTCTCGCTCCAGTGATGATGAACTCCCATGAAGTATTAGCGCTCGCAGTGTGTGTTTATCACATTTGTCAGCATGTGTGTAAATGGGAACTTTAAAGACGGTATTTTTCCTTTAGTGCCTTTTTGCACCAGTGTTGCACCCCAATCGTTCAGAAGTTCGTCTTTTTTATGTTTTCCGTTGGGATAGCATGGACTTAAAATTCAACCAAAATACCTCATTAGCAACCAAAAGATTAAACCTCAAAGTGTTTGAAAATCACAAGCTACTTTACAGTACTTGACTACCAGCTTACCAAACTCTGTAAATGAACATCCGAACACTGATGATTAATCTTTCGTCAGCTTTGTTGTACGTTGCTTTTATCTTACGAGGGTAAACCTGCGGTGCCATTCAATGCCCTTTTTCTCTCAGTTGTTGAACCCCAGGATTATGGAAAAACATTACTTTAAAATACCCTTTAAGCACTTGATATCCCCACGATGATGGTGCAATTCGAGTTCCGATCACTGGAGGTGGAGGCTGGAGTGTGTGTGCGTGGATCCTTGTTCACGGCAGGCGTCTTCAACTTGCTATGTTGAATGCCAAGGCTCTGCTCCGCCCGCTCACTGTATGTGTTTGCATACTGTCGGCCAATGTTTGCCTATGCACTGTGGGTGTGTTTATGGGCAGCTTACTTTACAAGTCGGTCTGGTGTGTTTCTCCCAGCAGCTAAGGCATCATCAACTATTTATGTTCTCTGGAGTTACTCCCTTCTCCTTCCCATTATCTCCCCACCCTCCTCGTCCTCCTCCGCCCCCTCTCTTACCCATCCTTCTCCTCTCCTCCACCATCCTTGTCTGCTGTAACATGTGAAAAAAGAACATTGAGAATCTTTCTGGACAGCCTTTATTCCTACATGTGCTGCTGTCAGATGGAATCAGTGGATTTTTTAAATTTCTTTTACTCACTTCTGCCCTTTTTTTTTATAGAAGTAGAAGTCTCTTTAGGAATTTGGAAAAATAACGGGGTGTATAATCCTCTTAATGTATTGTTCACAAACTGACGTAGGATTACTTGCACTGAGCGCACCTTTAATTTTTTCAAGCTTATTATACACTAAGTGAGCAAAAGTGGGACCAGGCATGCCTTTAAATGCCTGCACAGTTAAGATTTTGCTGTTAATTTAACTACCTTTCTTCTCCCCAATGGCAAAGCCAACCAGCACGGCAAGATAAAGGAAAATATGTCTTCTGACTGATTATGTGAATTAGATTTCCAAGGGCTTATAATATTCTAGCTTGTTTGAGAGCACTTTAGAGCACTTTATACAATCAGCACATGTACCATCAGAGTCTGCTGAATCACCCATCCATCTTTTGGGTCACAGTGGTTAATAGACGTTAGTCTGATATCTCAGTGTTTGAATCCTGTGCACAAAGGTCAAAGCGATCTGAATGCAAAGCAGTAATTTATCACCATGCCGCTTGGGCTCTGATTTGTGTCTAAAACTATTTTGAGTAAAGCAAGTTTAATGTTTCAATAAATGAATACCACACATATAACCAAAAACATAAAACAGTTTTCCTCATTTTTTTCTGCTCAAGTTTCCTGTAAGCTGCCAACTGTCCCTGTAGGATATTAACCTGATGACTGCAGCAAAATGTATAAACACTTTCATTAAACTTTTAATATGGTAAATAAGGTGCATGTGTACATACTGACTGTGAATGATAGTGTTACATCGGCGGGTTCCAAATAGAAAAGTATCATGCAAACATAAATGTGCTTCCTAAAACACTGAGTCTGTGAAGTGTTTTCCTCCAGCTGTGTCCACTGGACTGTAAATCTTGGCATCCTTCTAATACTAAGATAATTCATTTATTGTAATGTTTGGCTTGTTGTTTTCTTTTTGCCTCATTCCTAACTTTGAGTTAAACATACTGTGCAGATCAGGTAACCTTGTTTGCTTTGTTAACTCACTCTGGACCTTCTTAGGAAATCAATAGTGAAAGAGATTCTGACATTATACCTGACATTACATTACTTCATACTGTCTAATAAACTTTATTTATTTACAAGTTCTTTGCAGAAAAAGAAAGTAAAACACAACACCGGGGGAGACAATAAAGTTTAAGTGCAGGTTATGATTTTAAGTAGGAATAATTTAGGTTCCTCATGTAACAGAATCTGGATGATAACTCATGTTATCAAACCGATGCCTGGCCATCTTCTTTAGCTTGGCTGCACACAAAATCAGCACACTTAACCGAGGGGCTATCTTATTGGCCATTTTTTGTCTCTCCGCACTTATTGCGTAATTGGCTGAATTTGATCTAATCTAAACTAATCTAATGTAATTATTTTGGATGTAATTGCCCAACCGCTGGGAAAACACACGGACGTTTGTGCACACACATGGATATGCGCATAAACACTCATATTTGTAGACATACGGACAATCGCACACATACATGCATGGACGTGCTCTGTGCCAACCGTAAAGTCACGGTGTGTTTGTCATGCTAAGGGCTCCCGGTGGAATCAGTAATTCCCTGCTCCCTGCCTCATTAGCCATGGAGAGAGTGGTGTAACAGGTTGGAAAAGGGTTCTCTAGCTACTCCTTATTCAACATGCAAATGAAAACACCATTTCCTCCTGAACAAATTAACAGGCTTTTCAAAAGATAAATTGCCCCAGCTGTATTGTAATTTTGACTAAACAATCCGACATATTTCCACAGATCCCCCCCGGGGGCAGTGGTTGCTGATGAATGCAAATGAATTTATAATATGTGAGAGTGTGAAGGTATAAGTATGAGATTCTTCATGCTGTGCCAGCCCAAACAGTCAGCACTTGTTTTATTATTCAGAGGTTCAGCAGGTGAAAGA